AAAAAAAAAAAAAAAAAATCGTCGCGGATTTTAATTTAATTTGAGGGAAAAAAAGAGCGCCCAAACATTTGTACAAGAACGACAGTCGAGCGGGGCCAAGTTAAATTTGTTCGGTGCAAACAGAGCCACGCATTATTTAAGCACCATCGACAAACGAGCTCGTAGCACAAGTCACCTCTGTACCTCCCATAAACGCACTTCACCTCCGTAAAGTAAGCAAACACGTGAAGTACGGAAAAAAAGGTCTTTCTAGCGTGTATATACGTGACTTTTGGTGTACAGTCCGGAAAACACTTGACCACCGCGTAAATGTACTTACATGTCGTACACACGCGGTGTCGAAAACAAAGACCAGGACGACACTCGTCGCGTTAGCAAACGGAGGAAAATACTCGGCAACTCTGCAATCGTCCATTGTCATTCCGACCAGGTCTTTGGGAACATGTCTCCCTTTCTCCGCATAGAATCACTCGTTTCCCTCCGTGTACCACCCGAGTGAATTTTTTAAGACCCGTTTCACTTTTTTTTTGCTCCTTTGTAGGCAGTAAGTGGCCGGGGGCGTCGTTCAACATATCCAATCGGAGATGAAACCGACAGAGGCTCGACTTTCACCCACGATATATTATTATCATCACTTACAGGGTGCATGTCCTCGACCTCCCATGCAATTGTATATCCCAGTTGCTTGGCCAATGACTGGGAATGAGACACAATAATGTCGTATTGTTGAAAATTCAGGTCAATTATCGCGAGTGGGTGAGGCTTGATGAATATCGCGATCGTAAAAGCCCGGCGTTGGCGAGCCAAAGTGCATTTACAGGTCACGTCGCAGGGAGAAAGCTATACGTTATACCTAATGGTAGCAGAGAAGAGGAAGACATTGCCAATGCGTGTGCGAGGACGGAGCAGAGGAGCCCACGCCTTTTCGAGAGGTATCACTATCGTCGAGATAAAATCCGCGTGTCGTTGCGTCACTGTCGTAACACTCCGTTCGATCAGATGTCGCGGGGAGATTGTTTCGGCGTTGTCATCGCTCTAAGGTGTCTAAGGTGTTTATTATACAAGATTAGACTCGTGTCTTTTTTTTTTTTTTTTTTTTTATACAGGTGTCAAAACAAAAAGATAAGCTGCCAGTGGGTGGTTTGGTTTTCACGGCTCGCGTGACCGGAATATGTGATTATCTAATGGGTAAAAATTTTGGTTCTCGTCGCGGCTTCTGCTCGTTATGCCTCCGTTTAGCGTTTTGATGGATGCGCGTACAAACTCGGTCGTACATCTTTTGAAATTACGGTGACAAATTGCTTTCTTTTTTTTTTTTTTTTTNTTTTTTTCTTTTTTTTAATCACTTGGTATTGCTTTGTATTTCGCAATTATGTACATAGAAGAGCGTCGAATTTTTTTTTTTTTAATTTTTTTTTTTTTTTTTTTTTTTTTTTTTTTTTTTTCACCGCGTGCTGTATACCAACGCTGTCACAATAGTCCGTTTGCACTAACGATTTGGACGGAAATTGAAATAAAAATGTTTTTCGACGCAGGTGGTATTTTTTCAGACTAAACAGAGCCGTTGGGGAAAGTGCGGAGGTGTTTGCCATGGCTAATCGGTGCGCGTGTAAGTTAGGTGCCAAGGTCGTATGTACGGATTTTACGTATGAATGGAGGTCCGCGTTTGAAACGATGTTTGTCTTTTCTAACACTTTTAAAAAGATACCTTTTTTTTCGTTACTGTGGCACAGAAGAAAGTAAATTTCATAAAAATTGCCTCGTTGTACGAACACACGCAAGTGAGCCTGATTTTTCGAGAATACCTTGCGACAGTACATTGTTACGTAAAGTTTTTGTCATCAGCTAAAGAAGAGCGAGAAATTTTTAAAACTCGTCTAAACGAACGCTTTTTTGTTCTCTCTTTCTCTTCAAGTAGATCAATACGCGGTTTATTGTCCTTCGTTTGAGTGGATACCTCCGATGGTTGGCTGAATAATCGCTTTCTCCTTAAGCTAATAACAACTTTTGCAAGACATACTTTTTTTTTCTAATGCCTGTATGAGTATGGAGATGTACATAATATTTGCGTGCAAAAGTGGTATCGTTTTTTAAGATTCATAAAAAGGGACCCCCTGAAGAGGTAAAAAAAAAAAAAAAAAATTTCCTAAATGAATAACATTGAATCTCCGTGTACACAAATGGATGCACCGTGTGTTACAAACGCGAGCGGAGCGAGAGAAAATAAAGAGAAAACAAGACTTTCACTGATTGGCCGGGCGAGCGTGCAGGCGCGGCGGCCAACGCAGCAGATCGCCGCTCATGACGAAGACGTCAATAAAAATTGACAGATCGCTTCTTGTCCCGGGACGCATCGAAAAATGAGTACATCGTCAAAGGCGAGGGGGCACGCGCGTGCGGGTCACGGGGAAGCTTTCGGCGGAGAAAGTTGACAAGTCAATCTTTTTTGTGCACGCGAGAATCAACTGTTGCACCGATTGTGCCTAAAGTTCATCGTACCGGTGAAAATAAGTTCGAGGTATTTTTGGACGGGAAACGGCCTTGAGGTAATAGTTCCTGCTTTCCTCGACCGATGCGAGTGACTACTGGGTCAGGAGTGTGATTTCGATGCGATACGCTTAGCGAGTTACAGAGTGGCCGGTGCAGAAGTACAATTGATGGACTGACTTTTTCTTCGATCAAAATATACCGATAGCAATACTCGGGAAAAGTAGTGTAGGTAGCGAAGAAAATATTTGAGGGTGTTTACTGGCTCGTTGGTACAAGATTGCATGGTTACTGGCGGTTATTTTTTTTATTTTTTTTAAAACATTGTCTCCTGCAAAACCAATGAATTACGATCTGAGAGGAAAAACAATTTGTAAAAAAATAATCAAGGATTTGAAAAATATTTGATTTCAAATCGCGATATCTTAACATTCCTTAATTCTGTAATATCTAATAATATTGTCTTAATATTGTATATTCAGTTCAAAAAGTAGTCAACACCGATAAAGATGATTACTGTACACAGAGATATTTAAACAGATGCACCGCAGCAGCGCACGGTTAAGAGTATACAGTAGCCAAACTGGGATTTACTCAATTTTTTAAAACCCACTCGACAATTGCACCGCACACAGGTGAAAGCGGACCCCAAAATTACTGTTTTGTCAGACATTGCAAAACAACGCGCTCGAACAGGAGGAGATGACCCGTTCGTTGCGCTCATCTTGTTGTTACATATATGTGTTTGAGTAGATACAAATATATTATGTGTGTGAACCTTGCCTATATGACATAAAATATCGCGCAAACCGGTAATACATAGAACCACCTACTATGGATTTGCATTTTAATGTGACTTTTGTTGGCAAAACCATGATTCCAATCCCATTTTCCCCCATGCAAAGTACGTCCATTCCAAAAAGACATGCACTCGCGATGAATTTACCGCAATTTCAAAGAGATACCGGTTTCATAATGGATTCAGAAAATTAGCCGTATACCTACACGAAAAACGAAATTCCTCGGATCAAGACACGCGAGGCATATACAGAACTCGTTATTCCGGTAATGATCGGTATTTAAAATTAATTTTTTCGCTTGTCAAACGCTCGCTCGAGTCGTAATCGTTGCGCATATACATCTTACGAAATCTCAGGAGTGTGTGCGGATGTAAGAAACGTCTTGTGGACCGACACATACTCGAGAGCTGTGTTTACCCACCATATGACTTGGGGTCGTGCAAAGTCAACACATCGGGCAAACGATTCCTCCAGTGTCCAAGGAAGCTTGGAACGTTTTCCTGCTCGGCAGACGGGAGTAAAAGAAATCGCGCGCTCGAGCGATATGGGGTGGGGGAGGAAAAACAGATCACTCGAGTATATATAAGTATACACAGCGTGTGCGAGAGCGGGGCCCCGTCGAAGAGTGGTGCGGGGGATCGGCGTCGCTCGTTAGGCGCTGAGTCTTTCTCCGTCTATAGTCCGGGGACCCGCTCGCTCGGTCGGCCGAGGCTTTTCACTCGACGCGAGTCCAGTGTGCCGAGCGGCGGCTCGTTTCGCTCCCGTGCTTAGATATACATATATATGTATATGCACACTTTTGCACACCGAGTGCCGGCTTCCTTTCTCTTGTCTCGTCTCTCTTTCTCCGCCGGAGTGTGCGTGTATAGGCAAAGTGTTTTTTTATACACGGGGTGACTTTTTTTTTTTTCCGCCCAGCTGAGCAAAGGCACGTAAGGAGGAATGCGTCGTGCGCTGGTGGATCCCAGTCTCCGAGAGTGCGTCAACCAGCGGCTCGTCCTTACACTCATCGGTGAGACTGAGTTTACGATTTTTAATTTCAGAAATGAAAAAGAACAATATACAACGTACACCGTGCAGCGTTTGACATATTTAGCTTTCCTGTGCGTCGATTCGAGGGAACGCGGTAGAAAGTTGCGAAACGCATCTTTATAAGTATGACAACCAACATCATGGGAATGACGTCGTCGTCGTTGGAGGTTTTCTCGCAAAGTTTTCCCCCCATTTTATTTTTCTTCCTTCATTATTACTCCCACCGTGAGCTTTTGTTTTCCGTGCAACGAATTTCAAACGAATCCGAATCAAGTTTCTCCTCGTGTATACAGGTGTATATATATATATATATGTCATGTATATATCACGGCGATCAGTGCTGGAACATTAAGTATTCTTATGAATTGAATTTATTAAAATTAGCACCTATTTTATCCGACACAAATATATATGTATATGTTAACTTTATTATTATTATTTTTACTCGCGAAGCCAGAGTTTCGCTTTTGAAAGTCCGCACGTGCACGCACATATTTATACAGTGATATTATAGTGTGCACGTGCATGGAAATTAATGTCATTACAACGAGTAATTATACTGGTGAATTAATATTACGATCAAGGAGATTTCGCTGCACAAATTTCTTGCATACGCATTTAAAAGTCCTTGAAAAAGCCTTTGGATCTGTATGATGAATTGGGTGTGGAATTTAACGAAAAAAGCGTCAAACGCCCCGCGTCAACTTGACGTACAGTGAGATCAAACCATTCATTTGACTTGACTAATTACCGTATCTCGCGTTATGTACATTACGCTCATGAGCAGCACGCGCTATTGTACTCGAGACGCGTGGATTGCGGACACACACCGACACTGACCTTTCCCGCGCGAGCAAGTAAACCGTATGTTCTTTAAAAAAAAAAAAAAAAAACGCCATACGCCTTCCATAGTTCGCGAAACGGTAATTAAAATAATTAATATACGTCTACAAATATTCCTGCAAAGTTATACGTACGTCACACATATTATTATATAATTATGATGTAAAGTAGGTGTAACCACCGTAGATGAAATGAGACTATATGGGTATACGTCGTGGCAAGTAAATTTCCCACGAGTCCTGTGGTGGAAGCCTGACAAAATGTGCACCTCTTTCGGTTGTACCAAAGTAAACTCTCAAAGTTAATTGAAAAAAGTGAAAACACCGGCGTTCCCCCGCCCATGGAAGCCAGAGTTGATCAATCCCCCAAATCGTGTATACATCGAAAAAGCTGCGAGCAACACTATTATACATCCACATATATTATGTTATTTGTGTCAGAGAGACGCCGGCGTTGAATCCTCGTCCGCATGCATCCCGTAGCTTGGAGCGAGTGCGTCGAGGCCGCGCGGCGAGTAGGTCGTTGCAATAGATCATCAGCAAAGCCAAGATGATGCTGCCCACGGCGTGGGTCGGCTGGAGTCTCCTGCCGCTCCTCGGCATCGGGTTCACGGTATTCCGCTACAGCAGCATCGACCCCGAGTCGCACCCCGTCAACCAGCGGCAGGTTCGTCTTTTTTTTTTTTCCAAATAAAAATCTTCCTCCTCCTCCATGGAATGTTCAATTGTTGTATTTTCAGCTGCTGAGCACGTACGACTTTATAGTAGTGGGGGGTGGCTCGGCCGGGGCGGTGGTGGCCTCGCGGCTGTCGGAGATCCCGGATTGGAAGGTCCTCCTCCTGGAAGCCGGTCCGGATGAGAACGAGGTGTCGGACGTGCCGGCGCTCACGGGGTACATGCAGCTGTCCGAGTTCGACTGGATGTACAAGACCGAGCCGCCGAGCAATTCGGCCTACTGTCTGGCTATGGTGGGCGACCGGTGCAATTGGCCCCGTGGCAGGGTCTTGGGTGGCTCGAGTGTCCTCAACGCCATGGTTTACGTGCGCGGCAACAGGTGCGTGCGGGAGTGTGCTCGGGAGTTTGGGTTGCGTTGCGCGATCGGTCAATTGAAGGAATCGCCTTTTGCGAGACTCCGGTTGATGGGTCTGAAGCTGTAGCGGCCGATTTGCGCAAAGTAGTGGTACTCTCGACTTAAAAAAAAATTTTTATGTCAAGTATAGCTTACGAAATAAACAGTTTTTATATGGGTTATTTAAGCACTGGCTATAGCTTCAGACTCGTATCCGGTCGTCGTCGCACGTGTTATGGTACACTTCGCGGCGGTGGTCGTTTTACGTTTTGTATTATGTAATTAGCTCATTAGGTGGCTGGCGTGTGGAGGAAGTCGACGGGAATCGTGTGAAATTTTTGCTGTTTCGCGCCTCGCGTAAAAAAGTAACACCATGTGGGTGAAAACGTTTTGTTAAAAGTCCAATCGTTTGATTACGCGGAGCTTGAAAAAAAAAAAAAAAAAAAAAAATTATTCGTTGCGTTTGGAAGATTTGATATAGGGGTAAGTGTACCTATCTCCGTGGCACGTACTGAAAATTCCAACTTAAATGCATCATAAAAAATGGTATACTAAAGTTTTTGGAATACTTTTTTTTTTAAATCTTACATAATCTCTTACGGAATATTAAAAAAAATTTTATGAAGCTAAAACTGCAGTAGAATATTTTTAAAACGAATAAAAACGGTATGCTGGTATTACCGTGGTTGTGTACCTATTACCGTGCACGTATTACCGCGGATGTATAGGGTTATGTTTACGTACGCTCACCGCGGAAATACGTACACAATCAGTTAATGAGCGCGTTGTACCGAATACCGTGGAAAATAATTATTTACTCAAAATATACACAAATATTTCTGTTTGAATTGCATCTACATTAACGTCATTTTAGATTATTAAAATTGAAAAATTATTTTATATGAAACATTTCTTATTTTGAGCAAGTAATCATCAGTTTTTCAAAATCCACGGTAATAGGGCAGAGCACGGAGATAGGTACACTTACCCCTATAAATAAAATACCCGCTGCAGGTTCTACATAGAAGTATATATTCGACTTACCAGAGTACCTCAAGCGTTTGCCGTGGAAAAATTTCTAAACACACGCAACTACTTACGATATGGTTAAGCTGTTGTGAACGTACCTGTAACATAAAAACGAACGTGTTGGTTGTTGGTGGTTCAAAAATAAATCTCTTATTAAATAAAGGGTGGGAAAAAAAGAGTCATTGGGGGGGGGGGTGTAATGGTTTATTTCGCAACAAGGGCCGATTGAAATTGAAAGTGAAACAAAACGCTATAGTCCTCCTTCGCTCAAAAGTCCCCGAATCCACTTTCAGGCGGGACTACGACAACTGGGAGCGCCTGGGCAACCCGGGCTGGAGCTACGAGGACGTGCTGCCCTACTTCCTGAAATCCGAGGACAACCGCAACCCCTACCTGGCGGCAACGGCGTACCACGCGACAGGCGGCTACCTCACGGTCCAAGAGACCCCATGGCGCACGCCCCTGTCCATCGCCTTCCTCCAAGCCGGCCTCGAGCTCGGCTACGGGCTGCGCGACATCAACGGGGCCAACCAGACCGGCTTCATGATCACCCAAGCGACCATGAGACGCGGCAGCCGCTGCTCCACCGCCAAGGCCTTCCTACGACCGGTCCGCAACCGGCCGAACCTCCACGTGGCCCTCAACGCCCAAGCGACCCGCGTGATCCTCAACCACGACAGGCGGGCCACGGGCGTCGAGTTTGTCCGCGACGGGCGCAAGCAGCACGCCCGGGTCAGGCGCGAGCTCGTCCTGTCGAGCGGCTCCATCGGCTCGCCCCAGCTGTTGATGCTCTCGGGGATCGGGCCCAGGAAGCACCTCGAGGCCCTCGGCATCCCCGTGATATCGGACCTGCCCGTGGGCGAGCACCTCCAGGACCACGTGGGCCTCGGTGGCCTGACCTTCCTCATCGACGACCCCATCACCTTCAAGAAGGACCGCTTCCAGACCCCGGCCGTCTTCCTCGAGTACATACTGAACGAGCGCGGCCCCATGACCTCGCAGGGCGTCGAGGCCCTGGCCTTCGTCAACACCCGCCACGCCGAGCCGTCCGGCGACTTCCCCGACATGCAGTTCCACTTTGCCCCGAGCTCCATCAGCTCCGACGGTGGCGACCAGATCCGCAAGATCACGGGCTTGAGGGACAGCGTCTACAACACCATGTACAAGCCCATCCAAAAGGCCGAGGCCTGGTCCATCCTGCCCCTCCTGCTGCGACCCAAGAGCTCGGGCTGGGTGAGGCTCAAGAGCCGCAACCCCATGGTCCACCCGGAGATCGTGCCCAACTACTTCACCCACAGGGAGGACATGGACGTGCTGGTCGACGGGATCAGGATAGCCATGCGGGTCTCCAATTCCTCGGCTTTCCGGAGGTTCGGCTCGCGGCCGTTGAAGATCAAGATGCCGGGCTGCCAGCGTTTTCCCTTCGACACGTACGAGTACTGGGAGTGCGCGATACGGCACTTTACCTTTACGATCTACCACCCGACGGGCACCTGCAAGATGGGCCCGAGGGGCGATCCCACAGCGGTGGTCGACCCGAGGCTCAGGGTACACGGGGTCAAGGGGCTCAGGGTCGTGGACGCGTCCATCATGCCCGAGATCGTCAGTGGCAATCCGAACGCCCCGACCATCATGATCGGCGAGAAGGCGAGCGACATGATCAAGGAGGACTGGAAAATGCTGAGGCGGGAAGCTTCCGCTCGCGGCAGGTAGCAAATCAATCAGCCTTACCGTGTGGTTATATCGATCCAGTGGAACGGATGTACTTTGGCTGATTATCAAAATATGGTCAACGCTATTTAACATACTGCCGTGTATATACTTCGTTTTTTTTTTCATCAGTTTAGCCGCCGCATCAGGTGGAAATAATTGTAGTAAAGCAAAAAAAAAAAAAAAAAAAAAAGCTGTTTTGTTTACCGATTCTGTCGATGTGTATAAATGTACAATGTGTACATCGATACTTTGTTAATATTACCACAAGAGAAATTCGCCTCTATATATTATACGTAGGATACATGCCATTTATAAATTTTAACGAAACATAACTGGTTTTCGTAACTGCGGCCGAGTTGGCGCTCACGCCAGCGCCGATGAATATTGAAAGTTACGCGCAAAAAGCCGAGGCATCCGATAAATTTCCCGTGTGATGTATCAGCCGGGAGTTTTATTCTATTTTGATTTACGACTGGCTTTTAAAAGGAGCTCCGTTCGATACTCTCGCGGCGCTCGGTCGCTTTCTCTATACGTACTTTTGTCATCCTGCGCGTGCTATTTACGGTTGACTAATAAACGTGGAAGAATAAAAAAAAAAAAAAAAAAAAAACTAGTTTTCATACGTTTAACGTATCATACTAATAAAACTATATTGATTGTGATTGGTCTGTAACATTAATTTACAGTTAAAAATCTGTAAGTGGCGCGAATGCGATCACAATCTATGTGTGTGTAAATACAATTACGTTGAATGATTGTTGCTAAGGAAGAAGTTTTACGGTGCTTGACGTGGTGTACATTGTTATTTAGTTTGTCTAGTAAATTACAAATATTTTTCTCGACTTTGGTGTGCGAGTGTAAATAAAACGTGTACAAAATGTGTAACTGTTTGATTTTTACCGATTTGACTTGCACAAACAAGTTTTAATACGTTTATTTATGCGTGAATTCTCAAGACTCTGTACATAAATATTTTTTACAAATAAATTTTGAAGGAAAAAAAATAAAAATAAAAATAACCAATCGAAACCAATATTGAGGTGTTTCTTGTACCAAACGAAAATGAAGAAATCACAAGAAGCTTGATTTGTGTATCAAAGTTCATATAAACTTGCTCGAAAAAAATAAACATTCTAAAAATCTTTTACCACCTTCAAGCAGGAAGAGCACATCAACGCAGAGAGCCCCCAACCACCTAGTAACTCCAAGTCCCATTTTTATGGTCTATTAGCTTGAATCTAAATTTTTTTTACAAGGGGCATTAAACCAAACTTTCATTTTCAACGGTACATAAATTCGAAGCAGTAGCGTCACTCTTCAAATGATTTATGACCCTTGTTGTACGTAGCAAATCGTATATCATATATATGTATATGTAAAATATCAAACGCGTGCAAAAACGCGGGTAATCGATCTAGCTACCAGTCAACGTTTACCGCACGCTTAATCTCGCCCGTTAATGAAATCTAATTCTCAGAACGAGGCTCTCTTCCGCCTGTACCAACACAGAGCTTTCCCATTATAGCTGCGCGTCACTTTAGAAAACACTAAATCGATAGTGCGCACGAAATTGCATCTATACCGATGACGAGCGCACATTAGGTACCTATATACCTCCGATACGTGTTACAGAGATGGGAAGAAAAAAAAAACAATGTTTCTTACTTTGTAGTTTGGGTATTCTGAGTGTTCGTTTTGATTGACACATCATATATATATATATATATGGGCGCTCGAACGTGACTGTAATGGACCATCTCGTCTTGCGCTCATACATAATGAAGACGATGCATGGAGGAAATTTCAAATTTCAGTCAATCCACGGGTATAAAATTACCGGAGAGAAAGAGAGAGACGGTCATTACCGAAGGACTCGCGAAAAAAAAGGTACTTTTCAATGCCTGCCGGCTCCGTACGGCACCCGTCGCTCGGATCTCTCCCCGCCGCATCAAACCCGATGCAAATTGCCGCTATGCTCGCGCGCGTGTGCACCTGTATATACGCGGTCCAGGAGAAGCGTGGGAGAGATTATATTTATGCAGGACACAGAAAGTACACGGCGGTGGTAAGATTTTCTCAGGCTGTATACACACACACATCTTGGCATGAATACATATTTTTTTTTTTTTTTTTTTGGCCATAGGAGTAATGAAGAGCAATGAAATAAAGTTAGGCTCTCCGCGCAGAGATTGAAAGTTGATAACTCTCGAGTTGAATTTAATAATGATTCGACGTTTGGTGGGCGCACAAGTGTGTACATATACGTCTCATTGTAATGACTGCGAAAGTTGTAATTTCCCGACCCAAACACGGTGCAGTTGGCGCGTGCGAGTCCATAGTGCGACAGATCAATAACACCTCGCGTGGTTAAATTTATCATCGGATCAACGACAAAAATTTTGATCAAAGGATTTTTTTTACTCGTGGATCTGAAATCGATCCTTCATCGTATGTGGTATATATATATATATCTTGAATGTCAAAATGTGTACGGATTCGGCGTCTCGACTTTCGTTTTCGATTAACGTCACAGCCGAGATTTACGGTAATGTCGCGTTCATGGGGGCTTTTTACATCCTAAAACGAGTGCAGCGGAAGATAAAATTATACTTGCAAAATCGCGATACGCATACGTCCGATCGGAAAAAAAAAAAAAAAAAAAAAAAAAAAAAAAAGACAACGTTCATCATTCGCAATCATACGAGTCGAGGCTCCTCTCTCTCTTGCGTCCTAATTCCTCCAAAGTAAGTAATCGATAAAAAGCATTAATAAATATTCGCGGTGGTTAGTGGGTTCGTTAAATAGATTGGTTGTATATGCGTATGCAGAGGTGGAAAGCTTGACGTCCGAGCGCGGTATAAAATGTATAATTGAAGGGTACGAGCGCGGCTATAGGCGTAACTCTCTTTCCGCCACGCAAACATGTATATTATGTATGCGTGTTTGTATATAAATGTGTACGAGGCTCGGAAGAAAGTGATATGGTGAAGAAATTAATAGGCCGTTATCGCACGGCGACGGTCACTTTGCCCCGCTACCTACATGCTCTTTCTCTCTGTCGTAAGAGCCGAACACGTAACATGACATCCTCCCCTCGTTCGTTCGTTCATACGTGTGTGTGTGTGTGTGTACGTCCAATCGAGCTTTTTTACCATTATTTTTTTTTTCCTTCTTTTTCTTCTTTTCTTCTTATTTCCCGTTACGTACGGGATGGAGTGCGAGCAATGTGCCATTAGGTGAAATGACTCGCTTGATGGGTGTACGTTATACTCCATGTGTATGTATGCCTTACATACCCCTTAATAATTCGATGGGGCGTAGAGAAAAGACCGGCTATGTTTTCATTGTTCGCTGAAGTGTCGGTTGGGAGGTGTATTTTCGTGAAAAGAATCACGACACTTTGGTCCTTTGCGGAGGAGTTTTGGTTAATGTGAGTGAAAATGTAGCTTTTCTTCGAGCCAAACCGACGGACCAAGAGATAATCTTGCGGACTTTTCTCGGCTGACGTTTACTAATTAGAGCTCCTTTTGGCATCGTTTACCAGTTGAGGTGGAAAGGATCCATGCGAATGGAAAGGAGAGCGGGCTTGATGAGATTGTACGATTGTCCGGATAGGTTGACTTTGACAAAGGGAGGTAGCCGCGGAAAAGAGAAAGGCGATACAAAGCACGCGGTTCGATGTGATTTAATGAGCGACGTAATGAAGTCAACGATGCGACTATAGTGACGTTTCAATGAATTTACTCGCATGGAAAAATTGCGTTTGTTCCACAATTTTTTTTCTTTTTTTTAATCACTTGGTATTGCTTTGTATTTCGCAATTATGTACATAGAAGAGCGTCGAATTTTTTTTTTTTTAATTTTACAATGCCATGATGATACATTTTTATTCGACGTTACGTGCCATTGAACTTTGCGATAAAGTCATGTAAAAATGCCGAAAACCTACTATCGAGGCTAGATTAACTTTCCTTCAACTATCGATATTGTTAAAAAACAACGCGAGAAACACATTAATATCTCCCTAAAAGTAATAAAAAACAACAAAAACAAAATTCAAGTTATCGATAACCAAACGATTAAACAAAATTTGTGCAAGTACCAAGAAATTGTTGGACTAAAAGGTAGTATATGGGTGCGCAGAAGTATATCCAGAAAAGTGAAAATAAAGCCTCGCTGGGAGTAACGCGCCTCGCGCCGTCGTTTGCCATAGATCTACCTGCACCAACCCCACCATCTCTATCTCTCACTCGCTCGTAAATCATATAAGTACCTAACAGTGTCGTCATACGAAAAAAGAGAGAGAGAGAGAGAGAGAGAGATAAATGTCCAAATCGGTTTGCGATTTTCTTTCACTTTCAATGACCTCGCCGGCTGGGCAACGAAAAAAAATATATTTCAAGTGGAGACAGTATGAATACCTCGGAGAGGGGAATTTACGATCTGGAACGGGAATGACTATTGTCAGCGAAGATAAGGATGAGATAGCGAAATTATTATTTTTTTTACTACTTCGAGAGTAAAGAAGGAGAGGCTGCATTTGCGCCGACAATATACGTTATTTGGTGAAAGTAAGTACACTCTCGACTGATCAAACGAACGATTGATTCATCATTTTGTTAAGTATCAGGTATTGCTCATCCGTTGTGTAATGCATCGATGGTATGGACGTGCATGTATATATAAGCACGTATAGGCATCGCACGTTTTGTAATAATTTTTTAATGTACATAATACGTGTTGCGTGTAAGATGATGTAAGTTTTACATATAGTTGAATTTTGCTATGATCGATAATTTTGCGTTTTTTTATTACACTTGATTACACGAGTTGTTTCTTAGGTACCAAAGATCATCGGGTTATCGAAAGTTATAATGAGCACATAATAGATTGTAAACAGGTTTTTAATTGACAACTTTTAACTCATTGTTATGTAGATGAAGAAAAAAAAAAAAAAAAAAAACTCAAATCCATGCGTTTGATCCTAATCTTACGACACG